TGACCAGGACTTACTTATTTAGTGTGCCCATTGTCCAGAATGCGCCGGCAGCACCTCGCTCACAGGCAGCTGCCCAGGCAATATTTGCTAAGAGAATCAAGATCTTATGTGAGTGATGATGGAAGGTAAATCCGGGACTGAGGCTATAGCCTTCCTTATTTTTTTTACTGTCATATGGCGCATTTCACTATCACCTTTGTCTGTTTTATGCACAGCTAAAATGAACATATTGCATTTCTAGGGAAAAATTCTATTAGCGTATCCTGCCAGGCTCTAACTAGAGGCAGTTCTTAGAACTAATGTGTATGTATAGTCATTAATTGCTAAGAATAATAATTTACTTCTAATGTGAGATTGTATTAATTTTATCTGTAATGGAGTCCTTGTTCATCCCTGAAATGGTTGCACATTAGTAAAACTACTTCACAGGAAGTACAAAGTTAAGGGAATCAAATTTGTTTTACAAGGATATTTGCTGTAATTAATTTTAAAATATATTTGGCTTTTTAAGGCCATACTTTGAATTTAGATAATCATTTTTAAAACTTTATGCAAAAGCAGATCTTCCCGTTTTTCTTTTTCTTCTCATTTCATCCTCCAGCCTAGGATGTATCTTTCGTTTTCTGTTCTGTTTTTACTAACTGGCTGAATTATGCTCCACTTACGCTGTCTAGCAGAGACTGGATGAAGCAAGTATATATTTTCTTGAGATAAATAAATACATAATCTTTGATGACAAATAAATACAAGTTGTTGATTTGCCCATAGCTTCAGAACAATGGATGTCTGTAATTGGGGTTGATCTTCGGCGGGTGCATGCAACTGTGGTATGATACCTAGTTTCTGTCTTCATGGGGCAGTGCCTGTCCCTCTAGGCTATTCAACATTTTGTCAGTTACTTCTGCTTGATTAATAACTTTATAACCCTGTGAGAACTCCAGTGTAAATATGTTTTGAATTATCACAGAATAATTTGTTCTGAGTGCTGTTTTAGTTCTGTATGAAATTCCAGAGGGTTGAAACTTGGAAATAAAAGATCAGTCAAGTGCCTTTGGAGTCATCCTTGACTTCTACCTTTCTCTCACACCCCTGATTCATCAGTAACTCTTGCAGCCCCTCCCTTCAAAGTATTTTTGAGACTCCGACCTTCTCACTGCGTTCATTTCTCTTATGTAGCTCTTATCATGCAGTCTTTCTTCTAGGCAGTTGTAATAATCTTTTACTGGTCTCCCTGCTTCTGGTGTTGCCTTCTATAGCGTATTCTTCAACCAAACAAGGACCATTAGAGTGATCCTTACAAAAAAGAAGCCTGGGTCATTTTTAAAGGCCCCTTGCCTTCTGACCCTTTTTCCCGGGTTCTGTGCCCCAGCCGTCCTGACCTCACTAAAACATCTCATTTTACTTTGCTTGTATTCTTACTGTTTCCTAAAATACTAATTTTCATGTTCTTGTTGCTTGTGGTGGTGATGGTGGTGTTCTTGTTTTACTAATGCACCTCACCCATTCCTCTGGGGTTTAAGCTCCACGGGGGAATGCACTTGGGTTTCATTCATACCTGTATTCTCAGCCTGAGGAAAACCTCTAACACATGTTAGGTATATAAATATGTGTGGTACTGCTGAGTAAAGAAATGCTTAGACACATCCTGATCATTTTTACAAAACAGATGACACAAGTAAGAATGGATGTTTTCTAAAGGATAATAAGAGGCATTCTAGTTAAAATAGTATGGCGTTAGCATGACAGTAAGCACAAAAGAATTCAGGGTCAGTATATTTTAGAACAGTGTAGAATAAATGTACTGTTTCAAAGAATGGTTGATTTATTACTTAGTTGAGGCATAAATACATGACCTTCTTAAATTGAGAACTATGTCGTACCATGTCACAAACTGAATTCCAGATATTAAAATGTAAGCATATACACACAGTCATCTGTTGCCTAAAGACGGCAGTATGTTTGAAGGAGGCGTGGTTGGTGATGTTGCTGTGTGAGCATCATAGCATGTGCTTATCACGAGCCTCACTGGTGTAGCCTCCACACACCTGGCAGTATGGGACAGCCATACTATAAGACCTGTCCTGAATACTGAACACTGTAGGCAGCTATATCACAGGGGTAAGTATACATAGAAAAACACGGTTAGGGTAAAAGATTAAAATAATAATAATAATAATAATAAAACAGAGCCCTGTGTGGAGCATTAGCAAATGGGGCCGGCGGGGCGGGAGGTTGCTGTATTCCAGGGATGTGATGGAGCGGAGGCCGAGGACCTTGCTACGTGCTGCTGTGGATCCCACGGTGCTGTGTGCTGCACCGTGCTAAGTTCCTGGCGAGTACTTTCCTTTCTTCAGTAAGTTAACCTTGACGTACTGTTGTTGCTTTTTTGCTTTATAAATTTTTTAAAACTTTTTTATTTGCGGCAGGGTCTCACTATGTAGTTCAGACTGGCCTTGACTCACTATGTAGCACGGGCTGGCCTTGAATTCAAGGTGCTCCTCCTTCCTTAGCTTCCCGAGTGCTGGGATTACAGGCGTGCGCCACCGTGCTTGCCTGAATTCTTAAAAACATTTTGACCCGTTTGTAATAACACATAGCTGAAAACACGCGTTGTATATACAGAGATTTATTTTTATATTCTTACTCTGTAAGCTCTTTTCTATTTTTTTTTTTTAGCTTTTTAAACTTTTCCATCAAATGGTAAAACACAAATGGATACATTATTTTAGGCCTGCATACGGGGTTAGGGATGTCATCGTCCCTGTGTTCCATGGCCACACCCCACCGGAAGATCTTCTGGGGCGGCAACACGTGTAAATCTGGAATCTCTCCTAGAAGCCCTGCCTGAGGCTGCTTTCCAACTACTTTCCTTCGATATGTCAGTATCGGGAGCACACTCTAAAAAATAACAATTAAAAGTACCATGCAGTTAATACGTAATTCAGTAACATTGTTTTCTCTATCTTTAGCAAGCATTTTGCACCTTACACATGGTATGTGCTATATTTTTATACACCTAACTACACAGTGACTTTGTTCACGTCAGCGTCACTCAGACACGTGCGTAATAACGTTGTGCTGTGAAATCATAAAGGTTATTATGATGTCAGTAGGTAGTAGGAATCTCCCAGTTCATTTATAATCTCATGGGACCACTGTCATATACGTATCCAGTCTGTCTTTGACCAAAATGCAGTTGTATAATACATCACTGTGTGTGAAATAACTTGATCACATACAAAACAAAAACAAAACTCCTATAAACTGATAAAGGGCCAGGATCTCAATATTAAAATCACTACCAGCTATGAAAAGTGAAATTAAAATAGAAGAGGAAATGCAAATAACCAGAGGGCATTTGAGAAGAAGCCCAAGAATGTTTTATCCAACAGATTTGGCAAAATATAAAACACCCGATAACTGGTGCTGGGAAGCATGTACAGAAAGAAACATTCTTTTTCATTCTGGTGGTAACATGAAGTAAACCGTCAACATCTGTGAAAATGTAAAACATATAAAATTTGCCAAGCAGCTTTATATTAGGGAATGTACATGACAGAAACGAAAGCATCTTGTATAAGACAGATATGCCACAACATTTATTGAAACATTGTTACCAAAATGGAACCGGAAACTACTTAAAAGTTTATCAAATAAGTTATGGTACTTTTATCCTAATGAACATTACGCAGCTTTAAAACAATTTGTTACATACGTTTTCTTGATCTGAAAGACTATATATGATTCTATGCCTGTATTAGGAGTTCTCTAAAGGGACAGAATCAATAGAAAATACCTATATAATTTTACAAAGGGATTTATTAGGTAGAGAGGAAGAGACGGAAGAGTCCACAGTGACCATGTGCAAGATCAGAGGCAGAAGAGTCCACAAAGGCCTTCTGTGCGCAGGGGACTTGGAGAGCCAGTAGGTGCCCAGCCCAGAAACATGGAAACCACAGAACAAAGGGATCAGGAATGCAGCGCCAGAACAAGGTCAGAGCTTGGAAGCTCGCTGGAGTGCAAGTCTGTATTGGAAGCGGAAGACAATGGAGTCTGATGTCCAAAAGCAATGGCAAATGAAGACTGGAACTCTGCTAAAACAAGGAGGCGTCCTTATCTTTCCCCTTTTATTCCCTCCTGTTGCTTGACGCCACCCATATCCGGGGTGGGTCTGACCCACTCAGTTTGCTGCCCTGATGTTATTCACACACACGGGGGCGGGGACCACTGTGCTTTACTAATCTGATAGGCAGTTCTTATTCAAGTCTGGTTGACAAGTCACAATTGATGGCCACAATGCTGCAAAAGTTTCAGAGTGATGTTTATTGTGTAACCCATTTTAAAAAGTGAAATAATATATATGTTTGTATACATTGATTTAGTATATGTATATTTGTAAGGAAATACGTAGAAAGGGACCTAGAAAGAATTGTTATATCAGGAGTAAAAAGCAGGGAACAGTTGAGCCTCTATCTCGTCCAGTCACATTATTGTTTAACCTGGTCAAACAGTTATGTTCTTTTAATTTTAAAAGAGCTAATAAAGATTGTTCAGTGATAAATATTAACACACAGTCTAGGACGTGAGTACTTTGGCTTTGAGAAGCTGTGAACCCGCAGCTGTATCCTGAGAAAGAAAAGCCAACATTACTGTATTTGGTTCATAGAAAAAATATCATCTCACTTGACCAATATGTCAGTGTTCTCCAAATCTACTTAAAGCTTATCAATTTTGAATTTGAATTTTTATTTTCAGTTCGCTTAAAACTTGGCTATTCTAAGAATTAATTACTGAAGAAACCAGATTACAAAATAAACGAAAATGGTGTTTCGTTGTTAAAATGTTTTCATCTTCCAGTTATTCTTTATAACCTGCCCAATTGAAAGGTGAAGATCTTGCTATGCTGAACCTCTAATTAAATGGAATGCCATCTTGTTTAAAATTTGAGTTTTCTTACATTTGATACAAAGGTTGTTTATCATTTTTCTCTTTTATTTCAGAACGCTTTACCCTGTACAGCTCTAAAAACCTTAGACAAGCATGGAATAAGTAAGTCTTTATACAGATTTTGCTCATTCTCTTTTTCTCCTTTTTAATATGTACAACTTACCCGATAAGTTTGTCGTGGCCTTGTTTTCATTGATTCATGCCGTTATCTGTCCATTCTTTCAACCATGGGACTGTTATTAAGCCATGTACCATCTCTGATGTTCAGCCTGGGCCAACGTTCAGTATGGGTTTGGGGTCCTGACTATGAGGCACTGCATCAGAACTGTAAATCCTGAAATACTGCGTGGTCCATCTTCTTGTAATTAAATTCAAAGAAACATTATCAGCTGCACATTTATAAAGTGTAGCATACCAACTGACTTTCTGATCTAAATGAGTTCGTGGCAGCTTTTTGAGCTAGATAAAATTGTTGTCTCAAATCTTTGTTTACTTTTTCCTCTAACCCTTATTAGGAACCTGAGTACCTGTGTCCCTTAAAGTATATTTGCTTTGCTTTTGTATTTTTGTTCTTCCTTGTGACCTTGTTGAAGTAGTCTTATTTACTGGTTTCCAGATGTCAGGAAATCAGAAGGTCTGGGTTCTGAAAATTATTCGAGTCTTTTTGCAGAAGTTATTTGAGTCTTTTGCCAAACTATCAGGGGTGGAAAGCAGAGGAACCGAGTCCCTCCCTTTTGGTTGTAGGCATTGCATTGCAAACATTATACTCGAGAACTGGAACTTCTTAGATTAAATAAACTATCCTTTGTCATAACAAAAGGTTGTCTGTAGGGAATTTATATGATCTCACATTTTACTGTTATGACATGTTTAATTTTGGACACCATCAGTTGTGAAAATAAAAAATAAGGAAAACCTTTTCACATCTACAGAGCTTTTAATCAGTGCTGTCAGTAGAGACAGTGGACAGCTGATGGTGAGGAACTTGTGGGGTGGTGAAGAACTTGTGAAGTTCTGCAGTAGTTTATTGCAGTCACTTACTGAAATGAATTATTGGGAGGCTCTAGCCACTTACTTGTACTGAATCTGTACCTAGTCCTTAACACACTAGTATCATTTTTGCCTGACACAAGGCTTTGCATTTGCCATTGGAACAGCCAGTTGTTAACCTTTGGAGTCTGCCCTGGTGTCCACCCTCTCTGAAGAGTATTCTATGTCTGCTCTTCGCCTTTGCTACCCATTGATCTAACATATTTTAATTAAATGCTTTTGTATGCCACAGTGTATGTACAGTTCCTACCTTAATTACATAATTAGACATATTCCTCTCATAATTGCGCAGAAGTTGAGTCCAACCAAGTAACTCCTTTGGGAAACAATTCTTGATAAATCAGTTGAATTTCTAACCCTATATTTGAAGTATCAGGAAAATCTGACAAATAATATAGAGCACAGTAGCTGTGTACAGTTGTGAAGAATAGGTCATTGGAAATACAGAATTTAGAATTAGAGGTAACTTAAATTCATTTCAAAAAGTGGGTCCCACTTACATTACTATGTAAATATTTTAGAGAAAATATTAAAGGCTAAGCTTGAGGTAAGGTTTTTAAACTATGAATATACCTTGTTTAGCATCACACTTTTAAAAAATGTCCTGTAAGTCTTATTTTTTGTGGCCTCAGGGGTTCATCTCAGAAACACTACATGTTAAAACCATCACTAAGATATTATTGAAATATTTCTTTCCATTACGCCAGTGCTGAATCTGCGAACCCAGGCTACAGCCTTTAGCCTATTTAAACTCAGTGAATTTTAGAGACAACTAAGAATCCAGAGGTATTAATTAAATTATTGATTCTTTCTCCAAATGGACCTCGCTACCTTCATTGATGTTCTGACATCTCTTCTTTCAGGAGTATGATCTAAAGTAGAAAGAACTGCATTAAAAGACATTTAATCAGGGGCTAGTTTTTTCCATTCTGCTAATTAATTTCCTTGTCTAAAGCCTAACTGGTAAACTGAAGCAACTAGTAAATTCTCTTGTACAGTGGTAATAGGTGTAAAGTAAAGCGGACTAATTTGCAAGAAGTAATTTGAACTCAATTTAGATGGGTTAATGTAAGATAGGTGGGTTAATATAAAAAAGTATGGTGCTGTGGAAAATTAAGTATCAGTGCCTTTTAAGATATGCATTAACCCAGCTATTAAAGCTAGCAGGGGTGTTAGCTCATTTAAGGGAGTAGGAATTTCTCAGGAAAGGAATCCGTAGGTTTCTTGGAATAGCTATGGTAAGTGACCCAGTTCGTGGGGGGCCACATCTGCCCCAGGTAACACCATAGAGTTCCCCGCTGGCTTCATTTGTATCAGTAACGATGAGTGTAATTTTATCCTTTGACAAGCCTTTTTTTTAGTATTCTAAGAAAACAACGCGGTGATGGGGGGAATATCAGGGGATCTAATGGCTATCTAAGCTGAAAAGTATAATGTGAAGAAACTTAATTATAAGATTGAGAATAACAATTTTATGTCCATAATGAAAATAAAGCCCTTTTACTCCCTTATACTGGAAATGCATGGTACAGATGAACTCTTCCTGCATGAGGGGATTTAGGGCTAAAGGGAGACAAATCTGAATTTTATGAAAATATGCACTGTTTTCTGAGTGCCTCCAAAACATTCCATTTTATTTCTTCGGAGTTATAAAGACTCCCTATTTTTCTTCCAGATCTCTCTATTTATAGTTGTCTGATGTTGGCATGTATGTGCAATCAACCAAGAATTTGAGCCACTTGAAAGATCTTTTATTATTTTGGCTGGAGAAGAAGCCTTAGTATATACTCTGCAGCAACGTCAAGAGTAGGATTCCAGGAACACATTTGCTTGTTTTGGAACTTTTTAACAGCTGAACAGTTTGGGAGGTTTGAAAGTATCGGAATGAGAATTAAGGACAAACCACTAAGTCACAGAAGACAGATCTGGAAAACAGCGAGTGTGCATTTGGAGAGGCGAAGCCCAGCCCCATGGGCTTGGGATGAGTGTGGGCCCACCTAGTGCTGTACTTACAATGAACCTCTTGCTCTTCAGTGAAACCAGATTGCTCCTAAAAACTTCCAAACACTGATATCTTTAAGTGTGTAGTAAAAGCAGAAACGTGGTAACGAAACCATCTTTCCGGGAACACAAACTCAGAAAGGAACACATTTCCCTGCTGTATCCCAGCATGCCGGCAGTCACAGGCCCTAATTTGGAAGATTTAGAAATGCTTCCCAACCTTGTACTCTTCAGCTTACCCCTGAGTGTTGTATCTGACTCCGTGTTTAACCTTCCAGTCATGTTAAAGATGACTTGCTGGAAAGCTGTGCTACGTACACATAAAACATAATACACTTAAACTAATAGTTGGAGAAAGAACCTAACTTGCATCTTGTTAGAGGTGCATTATTGTGTTGTATCTGATGGGTCCTGTTAGATTTAAGTCAGTACCTTCTCAAGAAACTAAAGTACTGTTTTCCACTCCAACCTGTAGTTCTAAGTTGATCTGAACTTGTCTGACAGAATAATACCCTGCAGAGCAAGTTGGAGCTATAAATTTCCTTGCCAGTTTAGACATACAAGCAAGGTAAGAACATCCTTGGTGCACTAGGAGGAGCAATTGAGTTGAGTCAGATCTGTAAATCATCTTCCTCCACTTTCACATTTTCTTCCCCACTATTGATTGTTTTTGCTATAATTCTATGTACTTCAAAGTTGCGGTTGTTAATTTACTGAATACCTGGAGACTTTCTCATATATCCGTTCACTTTGGGGCAGATGGGTTTATTGGGGTGACTAAAGGGCACACTGGGGAATCCCAGCTTCTTAGCATGGACGATGGGCTGTGCCTGTCAGCCGCCCGGCGCTGTGGATTCAAGTCCATCGGCAGAAGGCTCTGGGGGCGTGGTTCCTCAACACATTCTGCTCTGTTGAAAATGTCCAGTTTTCAACACGTGAACAGTGAGACCCAAGCAGGTTTGTTGTCCTGACCTTGGATACCCGTATATGGTATTGTTTGAGGGTCCCACAGGGTCAGCTGCTTGCTTGGAAGTTGTAGTTGAGAGCAGTTTATGGGGACATTTGGTTTTCTAAGGTTGAATCATTAGTCCAGTTACTGAAACATGATGTAGGGGTGGTGTTATTTAGACCCACTGAACTCCTTGCCACCTAACAGAGAGTAGTTCTTCTAGGAAACCGCAGGTTAGATTCCTAAAAAAAAAAAAAAAACGACAACCTAAAATAAGAGCCCCTGGGTGGTGTCCTAGAGAACCTCAAACAAGATAGAATTAAAGAGTGTCCAAAAACACAGGCCAGGATCAGATTCTGGGAAGACAAAAAAGAAACTGTCTTACACAAAAATTGGTGAATTTGCCGAAAGCCTAGGCCTGGCCACTAGTAGTAGCAGTAGCATAAATGTAGAACATATGCATACACCTAGTCAAAGGCCCAACCTACGCCTACACTCTTGCTAATAATTATTGTCGTGTGGGGGTAGGAGTGGTAATTAACATTTGGAAAAACTTTTGCAATAAAGAGCGTGCTTTTGTGTTTATTGTCACATCCTCACACATCCTCACAGGCTTTTAGGGTATTCAGGGCCATTTTATCTCCATTTTATAGCTTAAAATAAACATGCTTGGTGAAGTCAAGGGGTCAGAGTCGTTGAAAATTACAACTTGGAATGTGTGCCCCACACTGAATCTTGTGAAAGGAATGCAGTGTTATCAGTTTTTAAAACTCTGGTGTTCACGTAGGCTTCTAACTATCTAGTTTTATTTTATTCTCGCAGTTTTGTTTTGTTTTTGTTTTTTTTTTTTTTGGTTTTTCTCCGGTACTGGGAACCGAACCCACGACCTTGCGCTTGCCAGGCAGGTGCTTTTGCCGCTGAGCTAAATCCCCAGCCCTATTCTCGCAGTTTTGGATGGTGGGATTTCTCCTGGGACCTGATGCCATTCTCAGTCTAGGTTGTTCGCAAGAGCAGAACCAGAACATGGTGGAAACCTGATTTCCTGTCTCCTGGGGAAAGTGCTGGCAGCAGGCTGCCCACCCACCCGCCCCACACTCCCACC